AGAGAGCATTGCAATAGTCTAGCCTGGACAGAACAAGAGCTTGAACAAGGAGTTGTGTTGCATGTTCTGAAAGAAAGGACCTGATCTTCCTAATGTTGTATAAAGCAAATCTGCAGGACAGTTTTAGCAATGTGGTCTGAGAAATTCAGTTTATCATCAACCACAACTCCAAGGTTTCAGGCTGTTTTTGAAGGAGTTATGGTTGATGAGCCTAACTGGATGGTGAAATTCTGATAAAGTGATGGGTTTGTTGAAACCACAAGCAGTTCTGTCTTAGCCAGGTTGAGTTGAAGGTGATGGTCCATCATCCAACAAATATAGCGCTTAGTGTTAAAAGCGCTTTATATAGCGCTTTTAACAATACAGACTGTGTCAAAGCAACTGAACAGCATTAATTAGGAAAACAGTGTGTCTATAATGCAAAATGACAATAGTAAACACTCATTTTTCAGTTAAAGGCTGTTCATCATTGAATTCAGTGATGTCATCATCCAGCTCAGTTCAGTTTAAATAATATCTTTGCAATCATGTCAACGATAACGCTGGAAATGAAGTGTCCCCAACTAAGCAAGCCAGAGGCGACAGCGGCAAGTAGTGTTGCTTTCGTCAACGAAAATTATGACAAAATATAGTCGTCAACGAACCTTTATCACGTGACGAAAACGAGACGAGACGAGACGTAAATGCTGGTCGATAATTAAATGACGATAATTAAATGTACAATGCAGTTCCTGTGGTCTTGTCCCGGTGGTCGTCTGAGACAATGTCTTTACAGGGGATTTGTTTCTGTATCTGTTGTTTAAATTGTTACTTGCTGCTTAGAAGAATTAGTTTGTTTTCTACCGATTTCTACTTTAAATTTTTCGTTGTAATTTGTATTTTTGATTGCACTTATTTGTTATTAGAATAATAGCCATCGGCTAAGAAGGAGCTTTTGTTATTTATATTGCTCCGTTCCTGCACTTAAGTAAGAACTTTAGTTTCGATTTGAGCAATTGCCCTGCTATAGGCTTTTGGGTGTGCTAATTAACAAGGTGGCCACAGCTGTTTTCTCTGAAGTGTCGTGTGGCTGTGTATGTATTTGTTATCTGTTAGCTGACGCGGAAGCATTCAGCCCTCATGTTCAGCCTCCTCGTGTGACGACCTATGAGTGTAAAGACCTGCAACTTTTTCCTGCGTGACTTTAACTGAGCAACGAAACCGGGCAACTCACTTAAGTACTCTCTTTTTTCCCTTTGCACACTCCTTTATGTCCTCTCTCTTCCACCTCTATCATGTGTTTCCAAAACATTCCGGCTGTCTCGCAACAACGCTCTAACATCACTATCAGACGGCAACACAATCTTACTAACCTGCTTCCTATCTCTACATCTTCTACTGCACCTCTTTCTTTTTCTGTGGGTCTGTGGAATTGTCAGTCAGCTGTCAACAAAGCAGACTTAATTTCTGCTTTTTCTTTGCAATCCACACTCAGCATCTTGGGCTTGACTGAGACCTGGATTCATCCAGAAGACTCCCCAGCTGCTCTGTCTAACAACTTCTCTTTCTCTCACACCCCTCATCAGGTAGGGTGGGGTGGGGGCACTGGTCTGCTCATTTCTGACAATTGGAAATACTCAATCCACTCTCCCCTATGCAACTATAACTCATTTGAATCTCATATGATTACTGTAACAGCTCCTATAAAACTTCATGTTGTGGTAATTTACCTCCTGGGCAACTGGGCACCTTTCTAGAGGAGCTGGATGGTCTGCTGTCCTCATTCTCTGAGGATGGCAGTCCACTTTTAGTATTTGGTGACTTTAACATTCATCTGGACAAGCCTTATGTGGCAGACTTCCATTCACTCCTAGCTTCATTTGATTTCAAACGCCTTGCCACCACAAACACTCACAAATCAGGCAACCAACTTGACTTAATTTAAACACGCAATTGTAGTGAAGACAACATTTTGGTGAAACCCCTACACATCTCTGACCATTTCTTCATAACATTTAACCAACGTCTTCCTACCTGTGTGCCATCAACCCCTCTACCTCTTAGTTTCAGACGAAACCTACACTCCCTTTCACCCTCCCATCTTTCCTATGTATTGTCTTCCTCTCTTCGCTCACCTACCCTTTTCTCATCTCTGGATTTTAATGCAGCAACTGACACTTTATGCTCTACTTTAACTTCTTGTCTATATGATATATGTC